AAACATGAGGGGCATCAGCCGTAGCATCATGGCGCTTGGCAGTAGGTTTCCAAGAACAGCATTGTTGGCGGTGCTTAACTCACATAATTAACCGCCAACACTTGCATAAAATCCTAGCATACAGACACCAAACTTAGACATAGGGCTTTGAACTAATGATTTCCATGAGTTTTGGTGTTTTACCATTTATAGGAGGACATATTGGAATAATAAGGAAAATGCGCCAAGGACAAGGCGTAATATCACTCGACATGAGCCCAGGGGGAGAAGGCCCAGTTACCAGGCAATTCAGAGCCCTGTCTCATGGAGAAAAAAGCTCAAAACCTGAAGCAAACATGCTCCAAATAGCACAAAACTTTGCAAGAGTGGCCCATATAGTCCTAGAGGCCTACACAACAAAGATTGGGCCGAGACGGCACCTCTAGGGTACGGCCACACCCCTGGTGCGCCCGCACCCCTATGGGCACGTCTCGGGGCCCATCTTTGGTGGGCTACCTCTCACCGCCTTGCCAACGTCAATTGTCAGGGTATCGACCAAATTCAACACACCTAGATGGCAGTTTGGAGGTCGGTTTGCTGCATTAATGAGGGGATCAAAGCATACAACGACGTGGGCGGATCGTGGAGTGGGAACGGCTATGCGAGATGGTGATGGCCAAATATGACAAGGATTAGTATGAGATTCTCCTTCGACAATTGGACTCCCTCAAGCAATCGGCCTCGGTGCTGCAGTAGCAAGCGGAGTTCGAGAAGCTGGCACATGGAGTGCTGCTCTACTATCCTGCGTTCGATGACACCTTCTTCATCACGCGATTTGTGAGTGGCCTTCGAGATGAAATCAGATCTGCTCTCTTGCTGCATCGGCCAAAGGATGTTGATACAACGAGTGCCCTAGCGTTAATCCAAGAGCAAGAACTCGAGCAGGGGAATGCCCAGTCATCTAGGCGAGATTTCACCAGATTGACTAGGCCAAAGAACACGGCGGTGGAACCAATTAAGCCAATAATCAAGACGGCGAAAACTGAAGCTGAAAACAAATTGGCTAGCCTCAAGTCATTCAGACGCCGCAACGGTTTGTGCTTCAAATGCGGTGAGAAATGGAGCCCCGCTCATACCTGCCCAGCTCATGTATCTTTACATGTTTTAGAAGAAATCTTGGATGCATTGGATATTGCTCAGTCTAATGATGATGAGGACAGTGATGGTGATAGTGCTGAAACACCTCAAGAAGTACTGACAGTTCAATCTATTCCTGTTCCTCAACAAAAGTCTAGACAAACCTTGAAACTGTTAGCTCAGATTGGAAAGCATAAGGTATTGATCCTGGTAGCTCGGGCAGTGTAGGGACTTTTGTTAGTGAGCAGCTTGTTCAACATCTAAAAATCCCAACAGAAGCTTGTGAGCCCAGCACTTTCAGGGCTGCTGATGGGGGAGTGATGCTATGTGAGCAGAGAGTGCCTCAATTGAAATGGTTTATTCAGGGTCACTGTTTTGTTTCTGATGCCAAGGTGCTGCCCCTGAAATGTTACGACCTCATCCTTGGAGAGGATTGGCTTGAGGATTACAGTCCTATGCTAGTAGACTATAAATTGAAAACTCTTCAGTTCAGTGTTGAGGGTAATACGGTTCACTTATAGGGAGTCCAGGATAACCCAAATGTGTGTACACCTGTGAGTGCCAGTAAATTGAAAGGCCTACTCAAATATGGAGTTGTCTCTCACTGCATTCAGATGATAGTGCCCTCTGTGTCACAACATTGTTCTGATCAGGACTAGACTGTAAAGCAACATAACATTCCAGCAAGTGTGGCTAAAGTTCTGTCCAAGCATGCTCATCTATTCTCTGAACCAGTTAGCCTGCCTCCATCTAGAAGTGCGGATCACAGAATTCCTTTGATCCCTGGGGCATAACCTGTGAAAGTCAGACCATATAGGTATTCACCTATACAGAAGTCAGAGATTGAAAAACAATTGAAGCAAATGTTGGCTCAAGGGGTGATTAGACCCAGTAACAGTCCTTTTGCTTCCCCTGTGTTGTTGGTTAGAAAAAAGGATGGCACTTGTATTTCCGCAATGATTATAGGCATTTGAATGCTATCACTGTGAAGCATAAGCATCCTATGTCAGTAGTGGATGAGCTATTAGATGAGTTGGCTGGTTCCAAATGGTTCACCAAACTAGATTTCAGATCTGGCTATCATCAAATTTGCATGGCTGCTGGAGAAGAATACAAAACAGTATTTAGGACACATAATGGACTTTTTGAGTTCCTGGTAATGCCTTTTGGCCTCACCAATGCACCTGCAATCTTTCAGAGCTTTATGAATATCATCTTTGCTGAATTGCTCAGGAAAGGGGGTATTAGTCTTCATGTATGATATCTTGATCTATTCTAAAACCTTGGAGGAGCATGTGTCCTTGCTGCAGCAGGTGTTTGAAATTTTGGAACAACACCAGTTTCTGATTAAAAAATCCAACTTCTCATTTGCTACTAACACAGTGGAGTATCTAGGCCATGTGATCTCTGAAGCAGGAGTGGCTGCTGATCAATCCAAAATTCAGGCAGTCAAGGTTTGGCCAACACAAAAAAACAGTCAAATAATTGAGAGGATTTCTAGGTTTGATTGGGTACTATAGAAAGTTTATAAGGCACTATGGCTTAATAAGCAGACCTCTCACTGATCTTCTGAAGAAAAATGTTCAGTTTCAGTGGACTCCAATAGCTGAGCAAGCATTTCAAACTTTGAATTAGTTGATGACTACACCTGTCCTGGTTGTCCCAGACTTTTCAAAGCAGTTTGTCCTAGAGACGGATGCAAGTGACTTAGGCATTGGAGCTGTACTGATGCAAGATCAACATCCTGTTGCATATTTGAGTAAAGCTTTGGGTCCAAGAAATCAAGCATTATCTGTGTATGAGAAAGAGTGCATGGCAATTTTATTGGTAATTGAGAAATGGAGGTCATACTTACAGCATCAGCCTTTTGTCATCAGGACAGATCACAGGAGCCTGCAACATCTTACTGAACAAAGATCTAAGTTGCAACAGAAGGCCCTGATAAAGCTAATGGATCTGCAATACACTATTCAGTATAAGAGAGGAGCCACCAATGCAACTGCAGATGCATTGCCCAGATTTGAGCATCACCAAGAGGTGCAAGCTATCTCTGAATGTATTCCTACTTGGGTTCAGAAACTGGTGGAAGGCTATGAAGATGATGAACAAGCCAAGCGGCTCATGACTGAACTGGCTATTTTTGCTGATAGTCACCCTGGCTATAAGCTACAGAATGGTGTGCTCAGGTATAAAGGAAGGGTTTGGGTTGGAAATAATAAAACTGCCCAACATCACATTTTGATTGCCTTGCATGATAGTGGCATTGGAGGCCATTCTGGAGTTAGTGCAACCTATGCTCGAGTTAAGCAGCTCTTTGCCTGGCCAAGTATGAAACAGTCAGTTCAGGAATTTATTAAGCAATGTCAAATTTTCCAACAAGCTAAGACTGAAAGAATCAAGTCCCCAGGTCTTTTAAACCCACTGCCAGTTCCTGAACAAGCTTGGGAAATCATCAGCCTTGACTTTGTGGAAGGGCTGCCACAATCTGATAATTACAATGCCTTATTAGTGGTGATCGACAAGTTTACTAAATATGGGCATTTCATTCCAATTAAGCATCCATTCACGGCTGTGCAAGTGGCTCAGATTTTCATGAACAACGTGTATAAGCTGCACGGCCTTCCAAAGACAATCATCTCTGACAGGGATCGGGTGTTCACCAGCACAGTTTGGCAGCAATTGTTTCGACTGTCAGATACAAAGCTCATGATGAGCTCCTCATACCATCCGCAGATAGATGGGCAAACGGAGAGACTGAATCAGTGTGTTGAAGGCTTTCTACGCTTCACTGTACATTCCTGCCCCAAACAGTGGAGCAAGTGGATCTCGGTTGCTGAATTCTGGTATAACACTTCAACTCATTCGGTTTTGGGCAAGTCACCTTGGAAATACTATACGATTATCCACCAAGGCAATTGGGGATAACGAACTTACAGCTGTGCATGATGCCAGATCTTGAACAGTGGCTCACTGGTAGGGAGTTCTTGTAAGCACAACAAAGAATGAAATCCCAGGCAGATAAGAATCGTTCGGAGCGTGAGTTTGCAATCGGCGATTCTGTCTTTTTGAGATTACAGCCATATGTTCAGTCTTCTATTGCTAACAGGACTAGTCAGAAGCTATCTTTTCGATACTATAGCCCCTTCAAGATTGTGTAGAGGGTTGGCCAAGTTGCTTACAAGCTGGACTTACCTGACGATGCTAAAATACACCCGGTGGTGCATGTGTCCCAGTTGAAGCACGATGCTAAAATACACCCGGTGGTGCATGTGTCCCAGTTGAAGCAACGGCCCCGTTCGCTTGGAGAAATTTGGAGGAATCTGGATAAATTTAGAGGAATTTGTGAGAGGAAAACACTGTTCCGGATAAAAAAAAAAGCGAATCAAGCCGGGTTTAAGGGCACGCGAACAGGGCCAACATGTTCCGGTTATGACTTATGTAAGTTCAGATTTATCTTATGTGCTCTGATCCAGCCCAGATTATGAAGCCAAGTTCTCAGTCGTCGTTCGATTCTGAGAGGAGCCACGGTGGTTCCACAGTTGCTGATCCATTGGAAGCTATCACCAGAGTTCGCTACTTGGGAAGATGAGAACAAGATACCAAAAGCTCTGCGGCTGGGCGAGTAGTCATATGTAGATAAAGCTTGACGACAAGCTTTTGCTAAGCAAGGGGGAGTGTTACATAGGTGGGCCGTGGGCCGTCATTTGTAGCGGGCCCAGGTGTGAGTCAGCGCCGACACGGCGCGGTGTGAGTTGGATGCATGGTCAGCGTCTGTTATAAGCTGAGCAGCCCCACCTTTGTACCCCAATCTAATGAACTCCTCCTCTCGGGATTCAGCCGAGCTCCATCTCCGTTCGTTCCTAAATTCTTGTTACTCCATTTAGTTATCCAGGATCGTAACACACCGCATGGGAGCATATGCGGGTGCACGGGCCCAGCGGCGGCGCCGGGAGAGGGTCCCAGCACCAGGCCTTCCGGCGGAGGTCGATGGTGTCGTCAGGGTGGCGGTCGCCGAAGCGGAGGACGCCGAAGCAGCAGGTGTCCCAATCCGTACTGGCGTCGGAGTGCATGACGTAGAGGTCCTGCAGCTCGGGGGCGTCGGGGTGGGCGAGGGAGATTGTGATGGAGTGGCCCCCCAGCTGGCCGGCGAGGACGGGCATGGCGGTGACGCAGTTGGCGTCGGCGTCGTAGAGGATGGAAGGGCCCAGCTTGTTGCGGAAGATGATCCGGCCCTCGCTGTCGCGGGGGCTGAGCAGCGCGAAGAACCGCACGTCGGCGTCGACCTGGAGAGCCCTGGACGCCGCCTGGAATGTCATGGTCGGCGCGGGCAGCTGCCTCAGCATCTGTATCGCCGGTGGCCAGCTGGCTGCTCCTTCATCCTCCTTGTTCGCCGCTTCTGCTTTCGCCTTCTCGGCGTCGGCCGTGGAGGGGTAGAAGAGGTGGTCGGCGACGTCGAGGCGGTGCAGCGAGTAGATGCTGCTGCTGCTGTCCACGCGGCCGCACCACTTGTGCGACACGAGGTTCACAAACCGCCGCATCATCCTCTCCGCACTATCGATCTGCGGTCTGCCTGAACAAACGAGGAAAAAAAGGATGAACTTTGGGGGGAGAGAGAGCGAGAAGAAATCGAGCCTACCTGATGCATGCTGGGGAGATACGGCTTAAAGATCGATCAGCTTACGGATCTTAAGAGCCGCCGCCGTGGACCGAGAACGAACAACAAGATTGGATGAAGGAGACGAGCGGTGGCGGCGCAGCGCAGACGAGCTAGGTTATCTGTTTGGACGGCGTCGGAGACGGTGCCTGGAGGACGGCGGCGGACGGATCGACAGCAGTGCGGATGGACGGAGGCGAATGAACTCGACTGGTAGAAAATATTTATCTAACTATACTATATGACTTGTGACGAATGGTAGAAAGTATTTATCTAACTATACTATATGACTCGTGAATCTCAACATCTGCTGACTCAGTCCTTTGAAGATGCCCATGAGATAGAATTTATATGCATATGATCATAGGGTGAGTGTGCGGATATATCGTGAGGACGTCTCACGTTATGCTATATAATTCTCAAAAAAAAATATTCAGCTAACTTGAATTATCTACCTAATTATACTACTCAATACATTATTTTACAATTATAGATTTACTATTTTACCCTTGATTACATAAAACAATCAAAAAAGAAATTGTCACTCTTTTTTTAAAGATATAGCCATAGTAAAAAAATTCTTAAGATATAGCCAAATCAAAAATTTAATAAACAAGAATAAAAATAAAGAACGAACCACGTTTCGATTCATTCATCCACATAAATATCCTGCAGTCTAAATTCCATTTCAATGTCTAAGCACCAATCTTACAATTCTGCTGCACCACCAAAGCTGGCCTGAACCCCAGTGCCAAACACGATGCTTCTTACAATACGATGCAATCTAGCCACATTTGCAGGCTACAAAACTTTTCAAATGCAGCAGCTGTTCCATTGCGCAAGCCTGCTAGCTCTCCATGCATTCCAGAAGTTTGAGCACAGAGCTCTCAGCTCCACCGAATATCATGCAACTTGGTCAGTCTGGTATTATGCCGTGCTTCGCAGACAGCGATCTTCAATGATATCATGACGAGCCGATTGGAATCAGCTTGACGGCGGCGGCAATGGGCATCCCAGCCAGACCGAGGAGCACGCTGGCTAGCCACTGGTGTATGGTCAGGGGCGTGGTGTTGGCAAACTCGCCTAGAAACTGCACCATGATGAACTGGAAGATGACCGTGCTGGTGAGGACAGCCATGAAGACATAGTTCCTTGTCATGCCCTTGAGCACGTTGATCTTCTCCATCTCCCGAGAGCTTATCTCATTGAACACCTGAAGCGGCATGTAGGGTCAGCATAGTCTAAGATAGCTTCTGAAGGAAAGTAATGTTATTTTGCCTAAAATTGATGGTACCCTCAATCTCTCTTGGGCCTTGTTTAGTTACCTTAAAATGCAAACTTTGGCACTATGCAAAAAGAAGATTCTCCATCACATCAAACTTGCGGTACATGCATAGAGTACTAAATGTTGACGAAATCAAAAACTAATTGCACAATTTAGTTGTACTTTGCGAGACGAACATTTTGAGCCTAATTAGTCAACGATTGGACAATTATTACCAAATACAAACGAAAAACTACAGTACGCTACAGTGCTGGTGAATTTCAGGCGACGCCGATTCAGGCGGCAACTAAACGCGGCCTTGTTTCTTTTTTATTCTCGACTAGGGTGGAGATGCCCCACCCTAGCATATTAATAGGTAGAAGGTGATAACCGAGCCCTGGTTGGCTGGGTAGCTGACATCCACCCGCACTAGCTAATTCATCTCAGGGGGCTTCTCAACTCTTGTTTATTTGAGCTACTTGTGTTAGGTCATCGTATTATACTCAAAGTTCTGACAGCAAGTTTCTTATTTTCCAGTAATGACAAAATTGCTGGACAAAAGAATGAACATTCCCATGACATTTCCATGATCATTAAGTTGACCTGATTCTAACTAAACCAAAGATGCTGGCACCAATGCTGCCATAGGTACTTAGCGAGCCAATCACGTGGAAAAGAAATGATCTGCAATAATAGTCATACCTGACAGAAGACGAATGAGTTGAAAATGATTGTATTTAGCACAATATCAGTACCAGAGTCTTCAAGCCCAAAGAAGTTTTTCCCTTGCGTTTGGAGATACCACATCACAAACAACTGGTAGAAAGACTGACCCAGAATGTTCCTCCACATCACATTTGTAATGAATTTCCCTGTCCTTCCTACTGGCTCTCTGTTCATCAAGTCATCATTAGGTGGCTCCGTGGCTAATGCAAGCGCACCAAGGGTGTCCATGATCATGTTAACCCAAAGAAGCTGAACAGCTGTCAGTGGTGCATTTCCTGGCATTACAAGTACATATGATTAGACAGAGAGACACCTGAAAACTCTGAGGTTAACAGAATCGCGAGGCAAGGAGACATACCTGTACAGCAGGCTGAGGAGAAGTTAACTAGAAGTGCCACTACATTGACAGTCAGCTGAAACTGCACAAACTTTTGAATATTGATGTAAACAGATCGTCCCCACTTGGCAACAGTTACAATCGTAGAGAAGTTGTCGTCCAGAATTATAACATCAGCGCTCTCTTTTGCCACCTGAAAAAGATTATATTAGCTCCAATGGTGACATGACTAAGATAGCAGGATATGATATAAATTGGCAATACTCAGGTTCAATAAGGATGGACATATCCTAATTGTATGTACTGTTTAGAGCAATAGGACATGCCACCATGGCATATCTGCCCTTTACTGAATAAAACTTGATTTGGTCTCCTTAACAATAAGCGTTCGCACCTCAGTCCCAGCAATGCCCATTGCAAGTCCAATATCTGCTTCATGCAAGGCAGGAGCATCATTTGTGCCGTCACCAGTAACAGCAACAACATCATTGAATGTTGTGCGCAAATGCTTTACAAGTGTATGCTTGTCAAGTGGTGATGATCGGGCCATTACCTTCAATAAACACAATCAGCAGTAGGTGAGACTTGTGGATCGATGGTTAAAATGTTTGAAAGTCAATAAGATATCTTGTACATAGCAAACCTGGATTTTTGGAACCAGCTTAAGGAGTTCATCTAGGCTTTTCTCTCTGAACTCCGGTCCTTCAATAGCTATGCCATCTTCAGTAAGTATACCACATTCACGAGCAATTGCCTTTGCTGTATTTATGTTGTCTCCTGTGACCATTCTCACCATAATTCCAGCAGCCCGGCAAGTAGCAACAGACTCCTTCACCCCTGGACGGACAGGATCTTTGATACCTATAATTCCAATGCATGTGTACCCTTGTAGTGGTATATGCTCTGTGACGGAAAAACCTTCTTCCATTTCCCTATAAGCAAGGCATAATGTCCTAAGAGCTTCACCAGCAAAACTATCAATAATACCATTGAGCTTGTCAGTAGTTATTTTATCCAGAGAATGAACACCACCTGTCTCATCTAGGAATTTGTCACAGGCAGCCAAGACTATCTCTGAAGCACCTTTACAGTGTGCACGGCACCCTCCTCCAGGAAGCTCAAGAATGACACTCATCCTCTTTTTTGTTGAATTAAAAGGCTCCATTTTCACAATCTTAGTTTCATCACGTTTTGCCTTAAAATCTCCACCTAGTGACAACGCGAACTCTAGTAAAGCTGTCTCTGTGGGGCTACCCAGGATCTGATATTTACCATCCTGGTTAATTACAACCTCACCACCTGTATTGTTAAATATAGACTCCAGAAGAGTTTTAACAACAATCTCTGGAAGTTCAGAGCGTAACTTGGATGCATTCTCAGAACCATTAACTTCCTTGATGTTTCCGCAGATGCCGGCCTTAACAACAGTCATATGATTGGTTGTCAGTGTTCCTGTCTTGTCGCTGCAGATGGTAGTAGCTGAACCCATAGTCTCACATGCAGATAAGTGGCGAACCAGTGCTTTGTCATTCATCATTTTCTTCATGGCAAATGCAAGACTCAGCGTGACGGCTAATGGCAATCCCTCAGGAACAGCGACAACAACAATGGTAACTGCAATAGCAAAATGCTCCAGCAGCTCCAATGCATCATCTCCTGACCAGCTTAGAAGCATCCGTTCATGGTATTTCTTACTGAAAAGCCCTTGGGACAGGACGATGAAAGTTATAACAGCAAAAAATAGTCCAATCTGACCAATAATAGTTGCAACTCCATTAAGTTTGACCTGCAGTGGGGTTTCATCATCGCCGCCTTCACTGAGAGTGTCCATCAGTTTTCCCCATTGGGTGCGCATGCCAACAGTTGTGACCAGCATCTTGCAGGAGCCATCTTGTACTTTGGTCCCCGACAAGAGGAAAGGGTTGTCTTCACTTACAGCGACAGGTTCACTTTCACCAGTTAGGCTGGATTCATTGATCAATAGAGAGAATCCAGAAATGAAGAGCCCATCTGCAGGGACCTGATCTCCAATTGCTAAATGGACAACATCACCAGGAAGAAGATCATATATCGATAGCCTTTGCCTGAAACCATTCCTTGTAACCTGTACTTGGATTTTCTTTTTCTCCTTGTCCAGGTCCTTGAACTGCAGCGACTGCCGATAGTCACTTGTCGCAGTCACAAACACAACCAAGAGGATACTTGCAACAATTCCAAGACCATCATGAGCGCCTTTTGGCCACCCTTCCATCACAATGCCAACAACCAGCGACACGAACGCGCAGACAGCGAGAATTATAAGAGTGGTGTCTTGAAGCGCCTCCCATACAAACACCCAGAAACTGCGGAGCTCACTTTCTGTGAACTTGTTTACTCCATATATGTCTTGCCTGCGCTTAATGCTATCATCGGCTGTGCTTAGCCCATCCATCTTCGAAGTCGCAAGTTTTTCTGCAATTCCATCAACTCCACCATAGGTGATGAGCTTCTTACTATCATGGCCCTCGACAATGGACCCCAGCTCATCGGCGCAGATCTGAAAACCTGCAGCCTTGACTTC